TCATACACGGTGCATAAACTATTATTCTGTTGCTTCATATTAACTCGTTAGATGTAGTGATGCTAACAGTTAAGTGAGGGAGCATGCAATGTTCCTGTTAATTTCCTTGGGTCTTTGCCCAAAGTTCCAATATAATGTGTTACAATATGGAACATAACATAAGAAGAGCCTGCTGGATCAGGCCAATGGACCATCTAGTCCAGCATTCTGTTCTCACAGTGGCCAATCAGATTCCCCTAAGAAGCTCAAAAGTAGGACCTGAGCACAAGAGACCTGTCCTCCTACTGTGGTTTCCAGCAACTGGTATTCAGAAGCATTGCTGCCTCCAGTTGTGCAGGCAGCCAGTTGTGTAGTAGCCAATAATAGTCCTCTGCTCCATGGAAGGGGAACCCGTGGCCCTCCAGCTGTGACTGATTACAATTATAAAAAAATAATTTGCATGCCACCTTTCATTCGAAGAATAAATATCCAGGTTATTAAAAAATGAATGCCAACAGCAAAATAGCAATAATAAATGCAATTGTAAAAATACAGCTAAAAAGGTAAAGGTACCCCTGCCTGTACGGGCCAGTCTTGACAGACTCTAGGGTTGTGCGCCCATCTCACTCAAGAGGCCGGGGGCCAGCGCTGTCCGCAGACACTTCCGGGTCACGTGGCCAGCGTGACAAAGCTGCATCTGGCGAGCCAGCGCAGCACACAGAAACGCCGTTTACCTTCCCACTAGTAAGCGATCCCTATTTATCTACTTGCACCCGGGGGTGCTTTCGAACTGCTAGGTTGGCAGGTGCTGGGACCGAGCAACGGGAGCGCACCCCGCCGTGGGGATTCGAACCGCCAACCTTTCGATCGGCAAGCCCTAGGCGCTGAGGCTTTTACCCACAGCGCCACCCGCGTCCCTAAAAAATACAGCTACCCAGAATTAAAATTCATCCTAAAACAACTACATTCAGGACAATAAGGGGTGCATATTAGGCAGAGGATTTGGGGTGTTCTCAAACGGCAGCAAATTGTTGTTTTATTTATGATTATCTTTTTACTCCAAGGAAGAGGCACTTCTGGGGATCTCTGTTTCAGGTTTCAACACAGTCTGGGAGTACTCCTCAATCCAGCTTCTGCAGGTGGCTTCTCTGGCACAGAGTAACTTTTCCCAGCTCTGGCTGTTTTGCCAACAGTGGTTGTTCCAGGATATAGTGTGGCTATGTTAACTCAGGCCCCGATAATCTCCCGTTTGGATGCATTGCAAGGTTCATGACCTGAAGCTGCCTTTAAAGATGATCTGGGAATTACAGCTAATCCAGAACGCTGCAGCAATATTGTTGTCTGCGGCAGCTTATCAGGGGTCATGCAACATCAATCCTGAAATCTCTTCATTGGCTGCCTATTCATTCTTGGGTGACTTTAAAGTGCTGCTTTTGACCTACAAGTTGCAACTGGCTTGGGACTCAGCTACCCCTGTATCAGCACACCTTAGATCTTGGGGCAGGAAGGAGAGCTCCCATCTCATTGCTTCACCACTAGGGGAGGTTCAGTGGGTGGTGGCACAAGGCAGGGTCTTCTCCTTGGTGGCACCCTGATCATAGAGTTGTAGAGTTGGAAGGGACTCCAAGGATCATTTAGTCCAACTGTATGCAGCTATCCCATCCAGGGATTAAAAATGTGACCTTGGCATTATTAGCACCATGCCGTAACCAACCAGGGGAAATGCTCTCCCCAGCATTTTAGTGCCAGGTCTATCTGTCTGCATAGGCATTTGTGTGATGTTAGTCTGCGCTATACAATTGGTGCACTAGAGTTTTTTCCCCCCTCTTTAATTTGTGTTATGTCTGGCTCTTATTGATGGAAGGTGAGTTGAAAGTATGATGCATAGTAAGTACATAAATAGCTTGGTCAGCCTTGGGTAGCTTACACCTTGGCTTAGAAAAAGGGGCACAATTTGCTATCCTGCACAGCAATTTATTTATTTATTTAATTTTTTGGGGGGGAGAGGGGTCGGCCTTCTTACCAGAGAATTCTGGAGCTGCCGCAGACCAAAGTATACAGTGCTGAACAATATGGACCAGTGATCTGATTTGATGTGAAGCGTCTATGGAATTTTAAGGGAAACTCAAGGAGTTTTGATCAAACTTAGAGACTCCCCTCCCCCTTGAGGAGGTTAATTTTCAACATCCCCACTGTCTTCAAATGCAAATGAAGAGGGAAGAATTGGTAATCAACCTCTGGGGACTCCTGAAGATCCATTTTGAATCCCAGCTCATCAAAGGCTTTGTAAAGTCTGTTAGGAAGAGGAGGTAAAAAAACACACACACAAAAAAACTCCACTGTTGGAATGGATGTCTTTTTAATGTAAATTGCCAGAGCTGTGTCAAAGTGTACAGTCATCATCAGCTGAGACCCTAGTCCTTCACAGTTCTGATCAGCCCAAGCTTCTTAGCAACATATATCCTGTGTGGAGAGAGGCACAGACCACATCATCTCATTTTCTCCTTTTCCTTGATATTGCTCTTATTCATTTGGAAAATTCTTTCCCCTTTCTGGTACAGTTAAGGAAGGTATTTTACTGCAGCACTCCAGTTCCTTTATCTCCATTTATACTTGGTTAATGTAGTAGGGAAATCCTCAAATTCCTCATTATGCTGTTTTGAATGTAACCTACTAAACCTTAATCATAATTTTGGGAATAGTAATTCCTCCCATTATGCCCTTTCTTTTCTCTTCCTTCTGCCCTTCCCCTCTACCCACTGAGTTTTCATTTCAGCAAAAAGGGAGGAAAAAAATATTAATCCATGTTTCAGAGATGGCCCCATCAATCTATAATTGAATCATTATAAAAAGACTTGATTTTACATCCTTTACAAGAGAGAATACAACTGTCCCTAATGCCTGTGGATTTCTACGGATTCATCTTCAGACATTCATGTCCCATTTTTTTTATATTTTAAAACAACTCATATCTTGTCTGTTGTTATCTAAATTAATTGTGAACTTTTAATAAGTTGTGATCTGAACAGATAGGTTATCTTTAGCGTACACGAGGCTTTAACAGCTTCATAGACTCATTTTGCATTTATAATAGAAGTACTTCTAATAGATGTATATCCTTGGTGTGCTGGGAAGAGTCTTTTGCAGGAATCTTCAAAAGTAGCTAGCTTAATTAGGTGTTTAGAGTCAGTAATGGGCTGGGTGGGAGCTAATAAACTGAAGCTTAATCCAAACAAGATCGTGATGCCATGAGTGGGTGGTTCAGCAGTCTGCAGAGGGAGTATTAAACCTGGACTGGATTGCATTCTCCTTCAGGCAAGGCTGGATTTAAAAGCACCCACAAGCTGCTAAGATCAGCTTCGTGTCTTGTGGGTGCTTTTAAATCCAGCATTGCTTCTACACATTAAAGTAGAATCAGTAGCGCATAGGCATCTTTTGAGAACTTCGCTTGCTATCCCATTCGTGACCCATTCTGGAAAGGCAGATATTTTCACAGACAGCTGTCCATGGCCTGAGTATTGTCCTCCATATTTCTGCCCTTCCTCCTTTAGGTGTCCAAATGGTCATTCGTTCATTTTGCCCCCCCCCCATTTATTTCAGAAATAGTAAATACAGGCCCACAGCAAGTTTCCAGTGGCTACAGCTGCTGCTGAATAAGATTAGGTCATTAGTTTCATTCAACAGGCTAATTCTTATGTGAGGCAGCACAATCATTTCAAGTGCTTGTAGATTTAAGTACATTGAATTCCAGACCTGTACAGTGCTGAAAATCAGTATGGAAGGGGGCAAGAGAGAAAAGAGTCAGGTGAGCATGGATTTTGAACTCAAGCCAGCCAAAGCCTGGGTCTGGTCATTGTCCTAGAAGCCACATTTAAAAACAACATAATAAGGTCCTGAACCCCTTTCATAGAATCATAGAAGGGATCCCAAGGGTCATCTAGTCCAACCCCCTGCAGTGCAGGAATCATTTTGCCCAACATTGGGTTCGAGCCTACTGCCCTGAGATTAAGAGTCTTGTGTATGACTTACGGAGCAACCAGGGTTCCTGAAAGGAAATCATGCAGGATCAACTCTTGGTTTTCAATGGTCCTGGTGGAGATATGTGTACAGCAGTGGTTCCCAAAGTGAATGGTACCACCCTCTGGCGGGTGGTGGGCGTAAAGTCAAGAGGTGGCAGGGGACGCTGAAGGTGTCAATGACTTGTCAGCCTTTGGAAAGCTGATATCACTGGATCAAGTTCATCCATGTTGTTGAATTAATTAAACTAAATAGTTTCAATTTTGAATAATTGGATTTTGAATAAATGCATTTAATTGTAACTGCTATCACCTTCCTGAGTGGGTTGTGCAAACTGCTATTCCAAATAGTGTTTTTATAGGGTAGGGGGCACTTGAGCCAAATTTATGGAACCAAAAAAGTTTGTGAAGCACCAGTCTACAACCTTCCTCATGCCTCACACTGCTTGCCATATCTTCCTGTTTATTTGTATCTTACTTTTCCTCAAAATTGACCCCCAAAGAGCCTTACAACATACCAAATAAAGAAGTGTAACATTTTAATGTGTGTGTGTGTGTGTGTGTGTGTGTGTGTGATTTTTCTGTCCAATGCTCACACATCCTGCAACAAATGCTTACTACATTAAACTGCCCAAGGTTCCCCCACCCCACCCCACCCATATGTGTGTGTGTGTGTGTGTGTGTGTGTGTTGACAATGACAACAACATTTATATCCCATCCAAGGAATGCATGGTGGCATACATGGTTCTCTACCTCTCAATTTCATCCTCTCAATAACTCTTTGGGGTAGGTTAGGCTAAAAGGTTGTGATTGGCTCAAGGTTACCTAGTGAGCTTTATGGCTAAGTGGCACTTGAATCCTGGTCTCCCAGGTCCTAGCCTGACACTTGCAAAATCAGGTGTATTTATTCCCATGTAAGTTTCTGAGTGGGACGCGGGTGCGCTGTGGGTTAAACCACAGAGCCTAGGACTTACCGATCAGAAGGTCAGCAGTTCAAATCCCCGCAATGGGGTGAGCTCCTGTTGCTTGGTCCCTGCTCCTGCCAACCTAGCAGTTCGAAAGCACATCAAAATGCAAGTAGATAAATAGGTACCGCTTCAGTGGGAACGTAAAGGGCGTTTCCGTGCGCTGCTCTGGTTTGCCAGAAGCGGCTTAGTCTTGCTGGCCACATGACCCAGAAGCTGTACACCGGCTCCCTCGGCCAATAAAGTGAGATGAGCGCCGCAACCCCAGAGTCGGCCATGACTGGACCTAATGGTCAGGGGTCCCTTTACCTTTACCTTTAAGTTTTTGAGTGCAGCCTTCTCGCAGTGTGAGAGGGGCACCTGTAGTATTTCTGCATCCCTGAAGAAGAGTGGCACAAGCTGGGAGGTGAGAAGGCTGTTGAGAATTTCAGGGAAGCAAGTTTGATTCATTGTGCATGGTACAGCTTGGATGCATCGCTGGTGCCTGAAACGGGAATTTGATTTGAAACCCTCTCCAGATTTACATTCAAACCTGCTCTCCTAGCCTTCGCCTTCAAGCATAATGTATATTTGGATGCAATTACTCAAGCAGCCTACCTCTTCCCTGGCCCTTTGTAACATATTACTAGTTCAGAAAGGACCTCTTGGGCCTCAATGGCACAAACCCAGGAAGCAAAATTGTTGCTTCTGAGGGCTGGAGACACATTTGCACTTCTTTCATTACTCTCTCCCTGCTGCCTCTTGTGAGTTTGCCTACAGACTTTCAGATAGATTATCCAGTTTGCAAGGAGGGAGAATCCATCAGCTGCCTGCCCCAGGGCCTTCCATTCTGCTGCAGTCAGTTCCTTAAAGGTACCATGCACACTTAGCAAAATGCATGCCCTCCAAGATCTGGGCTGGCAGGCAGCGGCGGGGGGCAATGCCGCCCCGCCCCCCCCCCCGCCACTGAGAAAAGGGACTAGGTCGCGTTTTGAGGCCTAGTCAGGCCTGTGGCGCCCTCCCAGTGCCCCCCCCCCCCGCCGTAAAAGCCCAGCCGCAGCCTTGCTGGAGCCCCACGCTGCCCGCCTGGGTCGGAAGGGCACCGGGCAGGCGGTGGTGGGGAGCGATGCCCCCCCCACCGCCCAAATGCAAGCAAAAGTAAAGAAGGCCGGTTACCTACCTCAGTCCGGCCGCCTGGATACACTCCTGATCCTGATCTTGATACCAGAAGGAAGAGCAGCAAAAGAGGCTTGAGCCCAGGAGTCAGCCTCTTTTCCTTTGGCCTTAGGCCCACCCCCGGCTGGCTGTCCATTGTCCTCCCTGGCCGGGAGGGCGGATATTGGCAGATGGAAAGAGAGAGACCTGAGTGTGTTTGCAACACCTTTACTCTCGCACCCAGGATCCACTGCTTGAATCTCACACCTGCCTGCCCACCCATGATTTACATGGTCCTGAAAACTCTCAGCCAGCAGCCTCTCTGGTGTGTACAGCAATTTGCAAATGCAACTTGAAATGCAGCAGGGGGGCGGGGTGTGTGTACAAACCTGCTGCATTTAAAGCCACACATGTGTACATGGCCTGTGCATCTGGCCAGACCACCTTCATAAAACTCTGGAGATCAGCTGTTTAATGTTATTTTTATCACACCTTTGATCCAAGGAGTTCAAGGTGGCATACATGGTTCCCTGCTCCACATTTTATCCTCACAACAACCCTGTGAGGTGGGTTTCCATGGGTGTGTGGGAAAGGTTCATGGGGCTGCAGTTCTTCACTGCTGTTGCTAAGATTTATTGTTATTGCCACTATAATGGTACCTCAATTTGAGAACAGCCCTGTTTACGAACTATTTGGTTTATGAACTCCACAAAACCGGAAGTAGTGTCCCGGTTTGCGAACTTTGCCTCGGTCTAAGAATGGAATCCGAACGGTGTAAGGGCACCGGTGGTGGGAGGCCTCATTAGGGAAAGTGTGCCTCGGTTTAAGAACATTTTCGGTTTAAGAACGGACTTCTGGAATGGATTAAGTTCATAAACCAAGGTACCACTTTAGTTCATACAAAATAAAAAGAAATAATCACTGTTGTTGTTTTCAACTTTTCAAAAAGAGTGTTGCTGTGGAATAGTGGGACAATTTGTTTCAGCAGTCTCCAAAGCGGAGACTTTCTCTTTCTGGGATGCTTCATTACAGGGCGGAGATGGAGTGCTGAATGACAGCCTGCATTTCAGTTCACTGCTAATTGCAAAGTGCCTGGGGCTGAGTGCTGCCAAGATCTGGCCATCCCCAATGGCTGAGGAGAAGACACATACCTAGCAAAGAGAAAGAGGGAGCAAATTGCATTGAAATGCAGATAGCTCAATGACAAGTTATACAGGCTAAGGAATGCAGCACAAGTTGGAGCCTGATAGTATGCAGTGGTATGGGGTTGGTTGTCCCAGATCACCTGGTCCCTAGTACTTATCCTGTTCCTCTAAGGTTTGGGGGCTCACAGGAGAAGTGGGCACAATTATCAGAACCTCATCTGGCCAAGCCAGAAAGATGCTGCTTCAGCAATTGACCAGAGCCACCTGAAGGTTTAAGAAGGCTACCTTCCATTCCAGTGTGGCTTCTCCTCCCTGGGGGAGAGGAGTCTGTGGTCCATAAAGGGGCCACAGCTGAGTCTACAGTTACATGCTCTTGCATGACTATGGAGCAGAGAAAACTACAAGGGAGTCACCCTTCAGGGAGTCACTGAGGATGATGGCAGAACCACATCTTAAGGATGGGACAGTGCACATGAATTGAGTGACCTGTGAGTTGTCTGAATCTTAGACCTTCTCTTGGCTACACTGGCACCAAGATCCAGGGGATATGACTGTATTAGGAAGATTCTGGCCTGTATCCCAGTTTAAACTCTGTGCAAATCCAACCACTGGTGCAGCCCCATTGTGCCTGATGGAGGATATGCTGGGATTTTAAAAGCTTTCCTCTCCCATCCTCAGACGGATATAGCAGCCTGCATTGTTAACAAATACCAATTCTATTATCCTTTGTTTCCTCCTTTTATGTTTTACAAGATTTCTACATTATTCATTTTCTCTCTCTCGCCCTGCTGTGCATTCCAGTTTGGCCAAAAGAAGGGGGACATTGTTTTCCTGTCTTAAATGAGGCACACTTCATGACATTTTAAAAGAAATTGATTACAAGCAATAAAACACCTTAGTGTGAAAATTGTCAAATTGTGCCTTCTCATGCCAGCCAATAGAGATTTGTCTGTGCACTGCTGCTTTGTGCCAGCTCAGCTCTGAACATTTCAGCGTCAGTCTGTGCAGCCCCAAATAAGAGTCAGATACTGTTTTCTGCAGGAACATGGGAAGGTGCCTTATGCTGAGTTGTCCAGCAATGACTGGCAACAGCTCTCTATTCTTTCACATACCTTCCTGAAGATTCCTGGGACTGAACATGAGATGTTCTGCATGCAAAGATTGCACTTTACCACTGAGCTGTGCTCCTTGCTCTAAAGCAGGGATGGGACATTTCTTACCTGAGGATGAATGCAGCCCTCCTGGCCCTTGGAACATCCACCAGCCCACACTCATCTCCCCAGTCAGTGCTCCTTACTGGTCCCACTGAGTGTTTTTGCTTGGCTGGAATGTGTCCTTGAACTCTGATAACGCCTCTTGCTTGCCTGCATGAGTGATAGAGGGTTGGGTGTGAGTGTGTGCAGAAATTAGCCTGTTGTACAAATGTAAACTTTCTCTTTGTTTCTGTTCCTGTTTTTGCCACTGGCTCCACTTGTCATGGGCATGCAACCCACAGAAGGCAATAAAAGGTTTCTCTACCCCTGCTCTAGAGCACATGATCAACGGGAGTGCAATGTCTTGGGGCTTTCCTTGAGGCCCCTTACTTTGCTGTCAAGGAGTCAGGACTAGGCTTGCAATAGCATGGATCCCATGCCAGTAGTAACATTTTTTGTTTAGAAATTTGCAGATGGTGGAACAAGCCTATGGGACTGCCATAGTACACCAACTATGAATGGATGACTTGCCACTGAATGTGTGAACGGACTCTACTGAAAATGCCACACTCAAGACAACATTGGCCTCTGCATGCTGTATTAAATCCAGTAGCTTGCTGATGCATAGCATTTACTGTTGCAATTTAAGGTGATGAAAATGCAGGTGTGAGAGCTGAGCGTTTCAGCAATCAAGTGATGCAAGTTAAAGGGATGATCATTGACATTCATGCATGAACCAGCCCTTAAATCCTAAACTTCCCCCAAGCCTTCCTTTATCCATTTAGAACTCCAGCAGCTCGTATTTCATGTCTAAGCAGAATGTGAAACTCCATGCTGCAGACAAACACAGATGTTAAAAATCTTCCCTGCTCTTCTTCAGCTTGTGGTTCCCAGTGTTTGTAATGGATGACGGATGACTGCTGAACAGCTGAAGGTCTTTGAAATATTCTGCTTGCTGTCAAGGCTTGTCTTTCTGCCTGTCTCTCCTCTTTCCCAAATAATTGTATGCTGCTATCCCTTTGTGTTAACTTCTCCTGACTTTTCTTGGGGTGGGGGTAGTGAATATTGCTATTCCAACAGTTTAGAGCAAAGAGAGAGCCTTTGAGTCTAGGTGAACTGTATTCTGTAGCTGTTCCCTAAAGGTCCACAGTAGTGTAATATTAAAACCTTCTCCTGGCCTCTATTTTTCTTGTTGCTGTTGTTTATTTGTTGCCTTCCACCTATATATCTCAAGGTGATGTACAAAATATAAAAAAGAACTTAAAAACAGTTTAAAAAAACACACAAAAACAGAATATGAACTTTTTTTGCTTTTCCTTTTAAAAAGGTAATTCCAACTGCAAATAGAGACAGAGCTTAGCCTGCATTAAGCAAACTGATTTCATCGGTGCTTACCAAGCTCATAAATTGATTGGGATGCAGTAATATCCCAGACTCCACACATCTCTACAGATTTTGTGATGCAGTTCTCAGCTAAAAAAAAGGAAAAACAGTTTGTACAATTTGTGCAAAGTTTGTACAAAATGCATGTTTTAGGGATTTTTTTTTAAAAAAAGGAAAATGCATGCAGGGTGTGAATTTGTATGTTCCTGCTTAAAAAGAAAAAGAAAAAGCAGAAGGTGGGATAAATGAGGCTTACAATTGTGAAGCTGACAGAGGCCCGGAATAGATTGATCTATTCTGTGTCCTACCGTCTCTGAGTGGTGCAAAATCCCATGGGTTCCATGCACTCTCCCCACGGTTCAGTTTCCTTGGCGTACAGGCCAGTGGAGATTGTGGTATCTTGAGGATGTATGATTTCATTTATACATCTATGCAACTTGAGCATAGGATGGAGGGGATCACAGCATTAGCACCCTGACATATTGTCTCCATTAGATTTCTAGAGAAGCCCCCTAGATCATAGACTCAGCACAGAGCAATAAATGTCTCTTTCTCCAGAATGCAGTTCTCATACATCTCTTCTACCCAGCCTGCCCCTTTGGCCTATTGGTCTCTATCCTGGGATGACATGCCACTCAAGTGAGGAAAACCTTCACTTAGTTGTAGCTATTGCAATCTACTCATTGTTTGAGAGCCTGATGAGAAAACTGAAGTGGCCAGTTCAGGTCATTGTCTTTCAAATTAACTTATCTGACCAGTTCTAACCCTCATTGGATATAGGATCACAGGCTGGAAGGGACCCAGAGAAATCATCCAGGCTGACCAAACTCCTAACACATCCTTCCATCCTTAACTGCTCCTGCTGCAGACCTTTATGGCCTGCACAGAAAATGCTTCTTTGGAAGCTGTATAATATAAAATTGCATTTCGAGGATGGGGGAATATTTCTGAAATTGTGTTACTCAGAAATAAGGTGCATTCTGTTGAGTGGAGCTTTCCCTGCGGGTAAGAGTACATAGGATTGCAGTCTCCCAAGTAAAAAAAAAGGCTTTGTTTTGAAGAAGCAGGAGGATAGCAGATGCTTCCAGTAGCTTCAAACCAGATCAGTGGTCACCAGACGAAGGTGAGCTAAGCCATTCGAAAGAAGACAAAAGGCTATGGATTCTCTTCTCATGAAGCCAGCAGCACCCTCTAGATGCAGAAATGCAGCTTGAATTTGCGTGCTGTTTATGCCTACAGTATACATAGGAATTACTATTCCATCATGCCGTAGAGTGCCTTACATAAAGGTCTTCACATTACACATTCTGAGCGAGTCAAATCTTGCTTTAAAAGCATTTTACTCAGTCCAAAAGGAATCTATATGTGCATTTGTTAACATGTTTTTCCCCAGTTCCTTCCTAAAACTTTGGGGTTGTTTTTTTTTTATTGCTGGGGGCAAAAAACAGACAAAAAGTCATCTGAGGAAAAACCACCCCACCACCTGATTTTCTACTCACATTACTCTGTTTGGCAACCTCTCTCTTACATCATGGATGTTGGCTCATATTATAAATGGATGACCTGTATTGTTTTATGGGAACTGTTGCTGCCGGTTTGTCT